AAAGCTATGATGGGTGTTCAATTCTTAGGTCCCTTGCACCTCAGTTAAAATCCTGGAATTACAAAGATGAGGAGTTCCCATGGGTGCAGTGTTTGCACAGAAATACAAATTCTAGAACTTTTTTTAACTTCTCTTAAAAAATAAAGACATTTTCTATTAAATTCTCTTTAATCGTGCAGATGACAGGAGAAGACTCTAGGTTTGTAGTGGACATTTCCTACATTCCAGTTGTTACTTAAAGTGGAAATACTGAGAGAATTAACTTTTTTTTGGCAGGCTGACACTTCAGCTCTCTGTTATTACAAAGGGTGTATTCGAGTCGTCAGTATGTCAGGTTGCTTGAAAACTTCATGCTTTCCCCACAAAAATGGAAAATGAGCTGAACTGTTATCTCAGTATGGCTAAAAGCACAACTAAACAAGTTTTGCCTCTTTTAAGGCAATGCCATAGCATTGAATTAAGGCAGACAAAATTGAGTTGTTGGCACAGCAGGTTAAGTCCATGTATCTGCTAGTACCAGAGGAGTCTGCAGATCTAGACGAGAAAGAGTAATGCGGATAAAATCTTGTGGATGATTCACTACAACTAGTGTAGGAGGGAGTAGAAATTGCTGGATGAAATTCTGAATGTGTTGGAAGTTGTGGGTGTTGGTTTCGTTTTGCATTCAGTGGGACTAGGATTCAACCACTGGGCTCAAAACTCCTGAGAAATTAAATACCAACCCCATGACAAAGCTTAAAAAAAATTGGGGATGTCTGGTTTTTCTGGCATCTGCTGACCCCTTTGTGTTTGGCAGCAACGCAGTAGTGAGGTCCAGATCTGATTGTCAACTCTCTTGCCTCAGTTCAATGTTGGTATTTTGGTTTTTGTGAGGAAAACTTGGAAGTGCTACGTTCTTATCAAGGAGGGGGTAATGTGAGGGCATTTCCTGCTCCCCCTCTTGCTTTCAAGCAACACAGGTTCAGTTCAAGCACAAAGGCGTGTGCTTGAACCCGTTTGTTATTTTAAGGCCAATATTTGGATACAAGTTGGAAGTATAGTGATCTCTGATTGCCTCCTGTACCAAGATAAGTGTAACTCTGGGAATGTCATCAGCTACTGTTGAAAGGCAGCATAAAAGCTTGGGGAAAGCCCTGGGGAACATTTTGCTGCAGTCCCAGCATGCACAGGACTGTGGAAGGGGGGAATTGAGAGGAGTCGGGAAGCTCAAGGCTGACTGGCAACCCCTCTCACCAGGGTTCTCAGCCACTTGGCAGCGACTGGGGCATTTTTTCCACAGGTTCCTGTTTCCAGTGGCATAAGTCATTGGAGGCTGCTCATGCTGGCATCAGTTCAAGATGAGGTGTGTGACATACCTGCAGGCAGATTGCTTTTCTGAAACACTGGTGCAAAGCTGCGTACAGAACCTGGGGAAGCACTGCTCCTGCAAAACCCAGGCTTCAAAGGGATGGGCTGTGTCACCACGTCACAGGGCCGGCTGTTCCCAGCTGCAGTCTTATTTGCCTCCTCTCGAGGCCAGGGTTGGCTCAGCTGCAGTCAGCAGAAGCACATAAAGTTGGAACAAGGTTCCTTCATTGCCCCTTGCACCCAGGTGCCCATGACACATGGAGCTGTGCCCAGCTTCCTTCCCAAAGGCACGCCATACTGCCTTCCCAAACTGAAGGCAGGAGCTGCACATCTGTGAAACTGCTCAAACGTGTGCGAATATTTTGCAGGGTAACTGCCAGCAACCTTGGTAATTTTGACCAGAGGAAGATGATGGGGGCGTGGTGGTAGGAGTGGGTGGGACCGCTGGGTGTTACTGAGACCTTTGCTTGCAAAGTGCTTGACAAACACACGCAATGAGATGGGGCAGAGCAGATACCGTAAGGACCTCCGGGCAGCGGGAGATTAATCACTCCCCTGGGACAAACCCAGGAGGTTTCCAGCAGGCCGTGTTTGACGGGCCCTTGGTAGAGTTTTTGCATGTTGATGTGGGTCTGCACGAGATCTTGGCTTATTGTGCGGGTGGAAACGAAGACTTTTTTCCTCACTGCTGATGTGTTGTCTCTTTTTTTCTTGTAGGTGTGTGATGTCAAACAGTGGGCAGTCCTTGTGGCCTCCCCCGCCAGCCTGCAGCGTCATGGGCCAGTATGAATATTAAGAAAGAAAAGCGTACGTCAGAGCTCAGCATCACCGAAAGATAAAAGGGGGAACTAAAGAGAGAGAACAAATGACTGCACTGCTTGCAAAACTTGGGGCCGTTCACTTTTTCTCCTGAGAAGTTTCATCTTGGCTTTTGTGAGAGAGCTGGAAGAGCAGGCAGAGCAGCTGCAGTGATTTTCTTAGGGTCCTTTTTTTCTTTCTTAATTTATTTTTTTCCCCCTGGTGCCTGGATTTTAAGCCTGTCAGCTGCACTGATCACAAGCACTGGACATCAATATGTGTCATGTCATTGTAACGTGTCGGTCGATGCTATGGACTCTCCTGAGTATTGTGGTGGCTTTTGCAGAGCTCATCGCTTTCATGAGTGCAGACTGGTTGATTGGCAAAGCAAAGCCTTCAAGCTCCGAGGATGTGGACAACAGAACAGGGGGCTCACAGGAGCCTTACCATCCGACGCTGGGCATATACGGGCGCTGCACCAGAATCTCCCACATGCAGCTTTCTAGAAGAGACACGCTTTGTGGTCCTTACGCCGAAAACTTCAATGAGATTGCCAGTGGGTTCTGGCAGGCAACCGCTATTTTCCTAGCCGTGGGAATCATGATTCTCTGTGCCGTGGCGTTTGTGTCTGTCTTTACTATGTGTGTGCAGAGTATTATGAAGAAAAGCATTTTTAATGTCTGTGGGCTGCTACAAGGGATTGCAGGTACGTGTACTTTGAGAGCAACTAAAGATTTTAATTTTGGGGCCATTCAGCTGAAGAAATAGTGATTCTGTCCTGTCTACAGACAGACTGCATTAGACAGACCCAAAGCGGTTCTACATGCTAGTGTTTATTCAAACACAACTGAAATTTATAGCTACACAGCATGTAATACATTGACATTGGCAGCAGAATTGCAGCCTGATGTGTGCCAAAATGAACTGACCAGTGTTGCTTTTGTTTGCTGTTCATTTTTTTTCCCTCGGTTTGAATTTATTTCAGTAACAAAAACTTCCCTCCTTTGTTACCAGCAGAGAGCAAAGTGAATACTCATGTTAAGGCGGTCTATCTCCCTCTCACTACTTTAGTAATTTTTCCGTGGACTGAAGGCAGTTCTGTCAGTGTCTCAGAGGCTTCGTGACAGTGGTGAGAGCAAATACCACCCCAGGGATAAGAACAACCTGCAGTCACACACCCAGTTCTCCAGCATTTCGTGCTAAGCAGCCTCCTTCAAGGCTGTGAGCTTGACAAGCGATACCTTACGATAAACCCTTCCCTTAGCCAGCTTATTGTTCAGCTGCAGTTACACAGCGCAGTGAGCTTACCTTTTCACTGTCAAAGTATCAGCTGTGCTTTGCCTGAAAAGATGAACTGGTTCTAGAAATTTGGTGTTTCTGCTTAAACCCATGGATTTTACAGAGATTAAATGACTGTTAGTAAACTGACACTGGACAGCCCTAGTTAGAGAAGTATCCGGTTTTCTGTACTCTCCAGCGAGCCATGGGGAGAACCTGTCCCATACGCAGGTTTTCATCTTTTGTGCTCTGTGTGTGGTCATCTGGAGGAGGAGAGTGGTCTTCTGCCCTACCTCTGGCAGCCCTCAGAGACCTGTGAGGAGGGAGGGAATGAGCAGGGCCACCTCCTCCACCTCCACATGTCTTCAATTCGTAAAATGGTTTCATCACAACAAAAATCAGGAGTTTTAACTTGTTCGCTTGAATGTGAATCCGGCTTCTCCCCTCCTCACCTCCACTGAGGTGGCCAAACACATCTGTGGTGGCTGTACCTAGACAGGAGGTGTAATGATAGGTGTTCAAACCTTTATGAAGCTCGTTCGTTTCATTTGCTTAGTTGAGACCTAAATGAATCTTATTCTAAACACACATGGGGAAGTAGGCAAAAACTGAATTTGCTGCCTGCTGCAGCCCTCCAGAGCCAGTGGTATGGGCCAGGGACCAGCTGACACTGGCTCCTGAAGCACTAGCATGGCGGCTCTCACCGTCCTCCACTTCATGCATCTTCGGTATAAAAGTGTACTGCTTATTTCATGTCACCCACAATGTAAGGTTTGTGCTTCTGGGGCAGAATTAGATGCCTAAATTGGCTCAAGATGCTTCTGTTCACATGATGGCATACAACTAGCAGATGAATGTCCTTTAGATAAAAATTACAGGTTTTGCTGTAATCACTCCTAGTTTACAGAATTTGCCAGAACCAGTGCGACAAGGAAGCAGCTCTGCAGTGCAGATAAGCCAGGGGAAGGTTTTAGCTCCTTGCTTTCTTACCCTGTACTTCAGAAATAATCCATGAAACCTGTTTTTCAGGAGATGACATTAGTTCCTTTCTGTTGGAGGGGTATTTATGGGAGAGATCGTTTAGCAGCCTCAGTAGATGTTTGGCATGTCAGACTGGGGTCTGTTGAAAAGATAACTTTACTTAAAACTCTGATACCATCTCAAAATACCTAGTCTAACATCAAGATTAGCAGGAAGTAGGTTCTTGTATCTTAGAATACTGTTCTGGAGACCACGTATTTGTGAGAAAATAGGTGCAAAGACAGTTTTATGTTTTATTATCAAACCGGCTGTACCTGTAATGTGACTTGTGGCCTCAAGAATTGAACAGTACGATCAACAAAGCATTTCTTGCATGTTACGGGATAGATCAGTCCTTTCGGAGCTGTACCGAGGATAGAAGCACTTCCCTTCTTATAATTCAGATAAATGACACAGCATGAAACCGGGTAATAGAAAGGTCATGTTACTGAAACTGTTGCTATGAGAAGTATGCCTGCCAGTATTTGCAGCCAGGCATCTTGTGGCTAGCAACTCATTTTTTCAAGATTAGTTTTACTGGGTCCACTGCTACTTTTGTGCCAGTAGCATTACAGCATCTGCTTACTTAGTTGAAATTATTTTCCTTATGACTTATCACAGGTGCTAATTTCAACTTTCTCAGTTCCTGAGTTTTGGAAAATGCTTAAGCAAGTTGTTCAAGAAGGACAGTTGTCAGCATGGTTAATCCATACAGGGATTATGATAGCTAGACTAATGCCCTGACCGGAGAATGAGATATAACACTTGCTTAATTGTCTTAAGTGTAAGATCATTCTTTCAAATGTGAACAATTATGTTTTTTAATAAGCGTAGGAGGAGAATTCAAAAAATAATTTTGTTTATCAGCCTATATCAGTCCAATATTTGCAAGTATGTCAAATATCTCATTTTCAAAGGTGAGATGCACCCATGGTAGTGTCACCTACAGGAACTCAGGATCTTGCAGACTTAATCTCATTTAAAATCTCTATATCTTTGCAGTGGAGATTTAATATAATTAAAAACATAAAAGAAGTTAATTTACTCCTGGAATTGATTGTGAAAAAGCAGTAACAGACACCAAATATATCTTTTCAGTCTAGCAGCATTGCTTGTGACCTGGATGATGCCTACAGTGAAATTACAGAACAGAAAGCAACATCTCTTCTGTTATGGCCCCTGTACAAATGTGCAAACTCTCATTTAGGTCAACAGGAAGGAGCCATACACATATCTGGTCTATAGAGGGGTTTTTTGGTGGCAGAAAATCAGAAATACAAAGCCATAAAGGAAGAAAATATGGCTCATGTTTAAACTCCTGTAATTCCTTTGTTATAGGGCAAGACCTTCTACCACTTATTTTCAGACTGCAGTGCCTTTCATTCTGGAGCTGTAGAAACAGTAATCACTGGCCCTGGTTTTGGAGATGTTTTGAGGGTCATTTCATCTGGAAAAGCATCTTTTCTCTGCAATAGAGAGTGCAAAGAATGGAGCCGTGTAATTAAATAGATAATTACTACCCAGCAGCAAGAAGACCAGGCAGGCTTTCATTTGAATGTCTTTTTGGGGAAAGTATTCTATTTTTACAGTCTGTGAATCACTTGAAATGCAGAGGCTAGAAGAGGCAGCGTGTTATTATATGGTAGCTGATAAAAAACAATTGAAAGTAAATTTTCACAGTAATCATCTAGTTATAGGCAGTAAGTAGTTGGTGATCCCCTATTGACATATCTTGATATGGATATAGGATAGTTGCATATGTGTTTACAAGCCTTATTTGGGCTTGCGTACTTCACTTTGGGGCTAAGTAATATAACCTAAGCATAACCTGGCCTCAAAGGAGGCTCGGGGGGAGCTTAGGACAGAGCCTAAAACAGGTTTGGCTTCCATCTCTGACACAGTTTCCTTTATGAAGTTCATCATTAACAACTTTTCTTGGCTTTTTTTTTTTCACCTCTAAGGGCACAGCTGGACAGAGCTGGCCCCTGGAGTTGTGGCTGGGTGAACACAGACCCTTCCCGACAGCCAGCGGCTGCCTGACTTGCAAGTGAGCCACAACCCGCCAGCGACACCCTGACTGCACACCAGGAGGCGGAAGCTAAATTAGCAGCACATATCTTATCTCAGCCGCAAAACTTGAGCAGGCCCCTATGTTTCCTTGTGGGGAGCTACACCATCATGTGCCTGGGAAGGCTTTGGGGAGGGAGTAGGGGTAAAGGGTGGTGGCTTGTCAGGAAGGTGGTTGGGTTTGGGAGTTCAGTTTCTGTTACTCCTGCTTTGCCATGCTGGAGCAGGGCTGCATTGCCAGGCAGATTTACTGAAAGGGGATAAAAAAGCTCCTTGTCTCTAAAATCTTCCCAGAGTGCTGATGGCTTCATCTGGGAGGCCTCTTGCAGGTCACCACCTTCTCACCACTTTCTCTGTTCATAGTCCACGGTCTCCTAGCTCAAACGGGGCTTGACTAAATGGGTTTACTGACAGAAGCATGGGAGAAAAACCCAAAACATGTAAAAATTGGGTTGCATCAGTCAGGAGACCAGCTGCGTCCCAGCTGCGCGCCGAGGGGTGTCTCTGGTTTGGTCAGGTGAATGCATGGCTGCATTTTGCCATCATGTGGCTTAGCAGGCTGGGCTGCTGCCAGTTACGCCTTTAACAGATATACGTCCAGTCAGACAAAGCAGAGGTTTGTGTCTTCAAAGGCCGTTGCAGGTGGGCCAGGAGCATTAGGTTCCCCCAGCCATTTTGTTGGAGTCTGTCTGCTTGGGCCCAGATGCTGCAGGTTAGGGCTTCCCTCCCTCACCCCAGCAGTTTCTGCTCCAGCATTGCTGGGGGACGACTCGTCTTCTTCCTTTTGAGGGTCCTACTTTAGTATTCTCCTCTCATTACCCAGTGCTGAGGTTTCTTTAACATTTCACCCTACTTATTCCTGCCAAGCGTGTCTTCTTGTACCTCTGCTTTATTCTGCGAGGCTTTTTCTTTTCCCTGACGCTTGTCCTGCTCAGTTGCAAGCAGTGAAGTCTCTTCCACAGTACGTTCTCTTTTCAGGTATCTCACAAGGTCTCCTGCGTTCATTCTGTCCTTTCTATGATTTCTTATTTCTTCCCTTCTATTACTGTTCATGTCTTCTACTGTTCCCTGCTGTGGTATCCTGGAGGGTTCCTCCATCAGAAACTACTGCAGTACCTGGGCAATAGTTCAGTTCAGCTTTACCCTCAAATGCAAGGAAACTTCTCCACAATTTTCTAAAATGAAGAGGTGAAACCCAGTTTGAAGCCAGCGGTGTCTGTAACAGTTTATCTTTGCTGCTGGAAGAGTTTGTTTTACATCTCTTTCACTAAGAAATAGTTCAGGGTGTTATACTTACTGGTCATCATTTCCATTTGGGAGGCTGGGTGATTAGGAAGATGG